AACCCCCCCCCCCCGGGCCGTGAAATGAATCGACGGGGGGGGGGGGTTATTATTATGAAATGAACATTAGTATGGAAATGAACTAGGGAAGGCTCCAACGCAAGCTACTCTCTCTGTCTCTCTCCCACATTTTCTTCTTGTCATACGGTCTGTTTGAGCGCCACAGCATGCAGCGACACACCAGCGTCGATTGCCTCTTTTTAGGTGCGCTCCATGAGCTCACTCAAGCGGCTTTGCGCTTGTTATCCATGCCTTCTTAAACTTGAGCTAACCAAATGCCAGACCCACCTGAGAAAACCAACACATGCGGAAACGGGACGACGCAGACATATGCAACTTAACTTTTCAAACGTTGTAACGTATATGTAAGTAAGCATGCAGCCTTCGTAGCGCTGTTCGTGGTCTCCACAGATGGAAGCTGGATCGGCTGTTGGGCGATGTCCACAGCACTCACCCTGTCCTGTCGCAATCAAGTACTAGCACAAGCAGCATATGAGGGCTCGGGCACTGTTCCCACGGTGAACCACGTGATAGCCGAACGACCGCTCTTGATGATGTCCATAACATCAAGGACTTCCTCCTAGCAGGTGTGTTGCGCTCGCGTGACAAAAGCAACAACGGACGAGTCATTGTGAGGCTGTACTTGGTCGCAGGGCGCAAACTTTCCGGAGTTGTGGTAGATGATGCGGCCCTTGACGCGCTCCCAATATACGGACGTGCGATGCAAGTTAATGTCACAGCAGCTTGCAAGGCGTCCCTGAACCCCATATTCCTGTCCTTGATTGAGGACACCCCAAAACAATTTGCCAACTCCCGGTTGGCCTCTTACTTTGGCTAGCCGCTTCCTCTCATCATTGCCGTGACCGCCCGGACCGCAATGCTTGGCAGCCACGGCAATGCACTCGCACCTTCTGCGAACGACGCCAATGCCGCCAGGCTAACTCGATAACAGATATGTACGGAAAAGCAGACATAACATACCAGACTACACGCAGCAATTCTATGCAATCCCATGTCTGCCGAGCCGCCGAATGTTAAAGCCAGCAGAGGCGAAGGCCAAACGGGTCAAGATCCAATCCTTCACAGCAAAGACAACAACGATACTAGCGCGTCACAGATAGAGATAGAGCAGAACACATGCTGCAGATTAGATTCGCTTTTGCATGCGAGCACCTCAGGATAGGCCAAGGCTTTTGTCCGCCGCCACACCTGGAGAATAAAGAAAAGCATGAGCAAAGTTTCGCAGAAATTGCTGAAGAGATCCTTCGTATTAGGATGCACCTGAAGTGAACCCATGATGGTCACCAGGCTGGTCTTGAATGCCTGAGCACAAGACAATGTCAAGCATCAAAGCGAGACAGACCCAACAGCCCAAGACCTTTGTGACTGAACCTTCCTGCTAGGAAGTTGCATCTTCCGGGCGGCAGTTGAGGGGGCTGCTGCTGACAAAGCCAGCAAGATGACCCCCATAAGTCAAATCACAGGTGGCTCATACTTGTTTATGGCGTGAGCAACCCCAAAGTACTCTGATATGAATGGCACGACGTAGATCTGCTCGGGTGCATCTAGCAAAGCTTTTCTCACCCGGCTTCTCACCTGCCAAAGTTCCCTACAAGTGGCCGTCACAACGCCTCACAACAAACTATGTAAGCCACGTCATGAGCCCGCCTACAAAGGCGCGGCTCACCGACACGATGTCGTCGACTGCTTCAATGATGAACCGACAATCGTCCTTGCTTCCCAAGTCTTCGAAGTCCTCATGCTATCCAATTGGTACCCCCTAAGATTTGAAGTATCCTTGCTTATTTACTGCCCACCGCATGTTGTATCAAACATATAGAACGCTGGTGTAGCCTACTAGTGGTTCACAGCAATATGTTGCCCCCACTCAAAAGTCACTGTTACGCTTACGTAGTACTTCAGTTCTCCGCGCCGGTGTAGGCATCCGCAGCAGCCAAGCCAGGCATAGGCTCGGCACGGCAAAAAAGCTTAGCTGGGCCTTCTTGACGAAGCTCATGTATATCTTTACCTCTACATGCCACAAAATCAAGCAGCACAGGTTTCGCATAACAGTTTGCACCTGGTATTCGTCGCCACCACCACATGTATGTCGTTCTGCGGAAACAGCTCCTGTCATTAGACAACCCAACTACAAAAAACCGTGCAGTAAGAGAGTCGCGTTTGGGATGCTATAGCACGATAATCCCAACATGTCAACAGTGCTAGAACCGTCTTGCAGAACGTGCCCGGATGTGAAACCTTCCGGGCTGGCACGGTCCTTGCAGTTTCAACAGATGTTAAAGCACTGCTCTGCAGCAAAACATCATCAGCAGTCATTCGACAACAGGAACCGACTCAAAGGAAGGAGCCATTGCCAAGGAACGGTGGGGGAAAGCAGATAAAAGCCAGTAGCTGCGTTCAAGCCATCACAATTCTCGCCACGACACTCTGCAACCTGTCTCGAGATGATTTCTGAGAGCCATTGATTTGCACAGCACTCCAGAATCACTCGAAAATCGGACGCACTGAACTGAAGGTCTTGAAGATCTTGGGACGTGTCCCAAATATTTGCGACCCTGAAGCCCTGGTTTTCGTTTACGTTTCTCGTTGGGCCCTTTGTCTTGTTCACGTCCCATTGTGGCATCGAAACCATTGTCAGCGTTTCCGTGAGCTTTTGCTGAAAAACCCGCTGTCCATGCTTACCTACATTTCATGGCTTTGATAATTCTGTGGAGTCCGTTCCCTTGTGTCCTGGCTTGACGGTTATATGGCCAGGCTTCAGGATAGTCTTGGCACTGTTGGTATGGCCTTCATGAAATTCAAGCTGCATTGTTTTGTGATAAACAGCTACTATCATTGCGACTATTGCTAAATTCCTAGTGTCCCCTGTCCTAGCGTAGCTGTTACCACGAATATTCATGCCAGTAGCATTATGAAAGCCCCTGAACTTGGGAAGTGAAACGGAACAGGCCTTCTGCAGACGGGGAGCACATCCTCTTGCTTCTGTTACTGGTGCTTGATCCGAAGCTGAAGGCTTGGAAAGGTACAATGGGCTTCATGCCTTCGCGGCATCTCAATATGGCACTTTCAGAGAACAGCCGTTTAGGAGATTGAAAACGTCTAACCGTCTAACAGCACAATGTGTGTTTGTGTAGTGTGCACGTAAAGAAGCGATCCTCCTCCGCTTGAGGTCATGGTTCATGTTTTGATACGGTCTGGTATCAGTGCGCAGCGAATTCTGGGCGGCTGTGATTTAAACAAGGTTTGTAGTCACGGATTTCCAGCTACGATGCCGGACAAGTCAAATGGACCGAGGAGATTCTTCTGGGGCGAACCCTCGAATAGGTGATCTTCCCTCCCAAACAAAAGATTCAGAAGCTTCGAGGCCTACTGAACGAGTGCCGGATCCTTGGGATCAGGCGGAGGTTTCTTGCTGGCACCTTCCAGACCACATCACATCTAAGCGGTTGCCCTGAAAATGCAGCTACAAGTCACCCAACCTGGTCATTCCGGAGATGCACATGTCCGACAATACACGGATTTACACTGCGGCTACAATATCAACATGACTTTGCGTCTCCCGAGCCGGGGTATTGTACCGCTGCGCCCAGATTTCAGTGCTGCTCTAGCCGCCAGCTCTCTTTGAGAACAAACACTGTTGGAGAGTTAGGGTACGCCCAGTAGTAAACACCACTTCTTGCAAAATCGAGCGGCCGGTGGCATCTTCAGTCAGTGTCGCTTTTCGGGTTTAGAGTTTCGGTACAATGATTAGTCAGTACTACGATTGCGGCTACAATTTCTAGTGCTACCTCGATTGCTGCTGCTGCTGCTACGACGACGACGACTACTACTACTATACTGCTGCTGCCACTACTACCAGTGCCACCACCACCACTACCACTACCCCTACACTCTATACTGATACTACTACTACTACTACTACTACTCCTCCTCATCCTCCTCCTCCTCCTCCTGCTGCTGCTGCTGCTGATGCTACTACTACTACTACTACTACGACGACGACGACGACTACTAACTACTACTACTGCGACCGCGATCATCCTCCGAAGCTTCAGCAGCAGGTCTCTGCACACTTTCTTGCTTCCAGCCTGCAAA